CCCCCCCCTCCTTTAAAGAGAACAGCCAATAAGCGGGCAGTACGTTACAGTACCGCCCTCTGTCGTCGGACTGGAATTCCCACGGCTTCGAGCGATTACTGACCCTACACAAAGGAACCACGCGGCGGCTTCCTCTCCGAACAGTACGGTCCATTGGGACTCCGCCCATTCCAGTTTGTAGTCCAGCAGTAAGGCCCTGGTTATTTTTTTTTTTGTTTTTTCTTTTCCCCTATTGGCTCTCCGCCTTTAGCTTCCATCCTCCACCCCGCCGCGCTCAACCTCTTCCCTTGTTTCCGTCCCCTCTCCGTTTATACCCTCATCCCCACGCCTGCTCCCACCCTTTGGCCCCCTGTGAACGTGGCCAGGGGTTTTTCTTGATGATGCAAGTTAGGAGCAGGGGGCTTGTAGTGCTGAGTGCATCAGGTCTCCCACTGTACTGATTTATGTGTGCCGAAGGCCCAGAAGTTTTTACTGCACTTAGCAGTTGGAGCGGGCAGTTTGAATGAACTGATTAAAACAAAAATATCGGCTGCCGAAATCCGATCCCATTCCATGTTACATAGTGCCAAGCGCTGCGATGTCCATTCCACGCGACGAGCATCTTTGTCTGTCTCACCCCAAATATGCACCTCTTCAACCACCTATACATTGCCTCACATTAGCATTTTTTCACGATGCTCATTGTTAAGATATTACAAGGAGCCACAGATAACGCCTGGTACCGATGCCCCCCCCTCCAACCTCCCACCCCGCCCCCCCCTCCTTCCCACTCCGCCAGCACCATCTTTCGTCGCTGACTTTACCAAAGTAGGGCACTCACCCTTTCCCACACCTGCCACCAGCGGACAGCCGAAACTACATTACATCATTAACAAACTACATTACATCATTAACAATACCAATGTAGCTGAGGGTCTTGATATTCTTGGTAATACCAAAAACCGCTTGAGCCAACCGGACAATCAGCATGGATAAACTGAGCTTCGCAACCACCCCGTTTTCTGCTCCCGAAAGCTACTTTGCAGCTATTATTACTACTATTAAATATTATGCATTTTGTGCTGTGTACAGCAGTACAAAACGCATATTGTCACGGGGTTGTC